GACCGTGTGTGTTTGCTAGTCCGCCGCCTCCGAGGCCCAAGGCGCGCCTGCCACCCCCCTCCCCGGTCCCGCCCGCCAAGTCAGGCTCTGCCGCAGGCAGTCGGGCCAGGCTCTACACCGAGGTGAACAGCCTGAGTTGTGCCAGTCCCGGAGGCCAACAGCGCTCTGAGACACGGAGACACACAGCACAAAAACTTTTCAAAACTTGGTAGGGAGTTTTGCGAGGCTTTTAAAATTCCTGCAGGATCCCTGCGCGCCGCCATCTTTACTTTGGGAGAAAAATGGGCGGGCCATGGCTTCACTATAGGCTTTCATGTGGCACACCGCCATCTTAGATTCGGGAAGGAGGCACGCCTCCCGTGCACACCAATTTGGTTAGGATGTTGAGCTATGCCTAGTGTCTTTGTTTAGTTTTTTTAAGGTTAAGCCTAGGACGGGTAACTATAAAGTTGCCTTTGTAAATCTACTTAAAATATGGTTCTAGATAGCATTCTGTTTTATAGGACACAGTTTAGAGCAGATAATAAAGACAGACAAAGTAACTCAGATATGCTGGCCCTCAAGCTTGTCAGAGATCTGATGAACATGGTCTCACTGCAATTTTTAATAAACAGCTGAGGATGGTCATTGAGTCACCATATAGAAGTTGGTAAAAATTGAGCTGTCCCGAAAGGCTCTAGACCTAGCTGTGCTGAGACTGCTGGCGTTCCCACAAGAGGTTTGCATAGCCAAAAAGTCCGTTCTGCCAGGTGATGTTTTGAAATGCAGCCAAAGTGGATGCTAGTCCTGCTGCTGCAACATGCCAAAGCTGGCTGCTGGCAAACTGGCCTCTGGAAGTCAAAATGCTCCCAAGCAGACTTGTCCTCTGTGCCCAGCCATGGCGGTTCAACCAGCACAAGAGCACAGACACTTCCAGCCTTCTAGCTCATTGGCCTGGCAGAGAACAGGTGGCTCCTCGACTTAGCAACCTCCACAGCTCTCACACAGGTCTGTTTTTGACCTCAAAATGAGGTCCCACGGACATATTGCCAACTTCTGTGTTGGGAGACTTCAGGTGCCTTCCCAGCTCTCTTCATATGCAGGAGACACCAGGCCTTAAGCCTCAGTCCTAGAGCTGCTACTTTCAGGCCTAGACACAGTCCAGACTCAAAAAACAGGCCTAAATTAAACCTTTACCATCCCTTTAGCTAAAGAAAAATAAATGTTCATAGCAGTTTGACTATGTCTTATGGTAAATAACTAAATACAAAGGTCCCTCTCATATTTGAGACATGTCGTAAGGTTAATAAATACAAGTTACACATATTTGAGAGTCTTAAAAAGTGTCTTAAGGTTGGTAAACGTAAGTTATACATATATGAGAGTCTAAAAATGTGTCTTAAGGTTGGTAATGCAACTTATAAATGTTTTAGGGTCTAAAGAAAAACGTTTTAAGATTGATAAATACAAATTATAAAGGTTACAAGGTCTAAGGTAATTTACGGTATCTTAAATAGGTAAAAAGGCTTAATATTTCTTCCTGTTGTTATGCTACTGTTATATTGACTGTCCAGAGTTTTGACCTTTATTAATAGGACTCTAATGTATTAATCTAACTCTGATACAAAAACATTCCACTATACCACTATTCCGCTATTATGGTCCTAAGCTCAAGATTGCAAGCCTCCATAATGTGTATGCTTATACTTAAAGTTAAGATCAAGTGAGTTTCCCTTTTACTTCATAAAAGGCTTTTGCCTTTTCAGAGCTCACCTTAAAAAATACTTATGCTGTTAACACAAATATGTATGTCTACTGCCTTTTTCTCTGCGCAGAGTACAATTGTAATACTAACATCTCTAAAGTTTTATCTCCTTCTTAAAACTTAAAAGTAATTTTTATAAGCTGCAAAAAGTCCACCTTAATCCACCTCTCAGGTCAATTGGACTCCAGATAAGTACTGCACCAATTGCCTATCTCAAAAGGTGGGACTCCTCCCCTTTCCCTGGTTTTGGGACTTCCTTTCCTGGCTACCAGACTGCTGTTTACTGCATGCAACCACTGGCTGAATTGGTGAGTTCTCCTTATTGACCAGCCACTAGATTGGTGAGTTCACTCCCATTTTCTCAGCATAAACGCCTCTCTTGGTAGGGGAAGCTTGACCACAGAGCTCTGGCAACTTCCTACTATCTTTTGAGACGGAGGGACCCCCCCCTCAGCCGTAGACTTAATTGTCTAGGTTTGACCCTCTATGCTGACCTCCATTTTAGGGCCACACTCTCCCTTGGGCCGTATGTACCCTCTCACAGACAGTTCCTCTCCCCACTCGCTTGCCCTCTCGCCCACTCATGGGTCCCCTCTCACAGACAGTTCCTCTCCCCACTCGCTTGCCCTCTCGCCCACTCATGGGCCCCCTCTCACCCGCTCATGGGAAGACCTAGCGCTAGGCAAACCATCGTGCTTCGGCTGTGCCACTGGGAACCGCGCCCGGATCCCTGGCCAAGAGCTGACAAGCTCTTGGACAGGTAGCATCCCTCTTGCTCGGAGTCACACTTTCCCTTGGGACGCCACTGGAAAGTTGGTGACTTCTCTGCCCCCAATGGGAGATGCCCAGATGCCCGTCCCTCCAGACAGGCTGGAGAATTTCAGGCTTCTACACCTAGTGTCAGCTGGCACCAGGGCCTCTAAGTTCACATGCTTCTGTAACCAAACCTCACCTCAATGACAGGTCGAAAACAAAGCCTTTTTTAAATATTGCCAGTGATTGGGTATATAAAAGTCCCCTCCAGGTAGACAGAGGTTTCCATGTACAAGCCTCATAGATCCAAACCTTTCAATGTATACCTACAGGATTTTCTCCCTACTCAACTTTATCTTTTGCCTATATATGTGTTTCAGTGTCCTGCCAGACACAGATGTTTCCTATAGCCACAACAGCACCAAAGCAGCTACAGGTGTTCAACTCTTTCCTCACGGACTTCCAACAAGCTGCAGGTGTTCAGCTCTGACCTCACAGACTTCCAACAAGCTGGACCTGCACCTTCCCTTCCAGCCATGGGTGTTCTCACAGACCTAGGAAAGCATCAAAACAGCCTATTCTTCCTGGACTTGGCCAATAGTTCAGCCTTTTGACCTCCCTACAGCGCCCCCAGTGACAGCAGGAAGTAGCCAGAAGAGAATCTATGCCCGTTATTCACTTGTTGTTAACAAAAGGCTAAAATGGTGTGCTTCAGGACCAGGACAAGCGGCTCCAAGGTTTTCCCAGCGTTCCCCAGTCCCTACCTGCTGCCTTGCATGGCTGACAACTCTCTCTGTTGACAACCCTTTACCCTAAATTTTCCAGGGCAGAGGCTTCCCCTACTCTTGACCTTGCAATCTGACCATTTTGTTGCTATAATTCTTCTCTCTCTCAACCTCTTGCATGACAACCAAGAGCTGCTTCCAATGAGCCTAAATTTATGTACTTTAACTTACCTTATAAAAGGCAGCCCAAGCTCCCTACTTTTAATTATAGAAAAAGGGAGGAATGTTAGTATTTTGGAACACAACCTGTTAGTTACCCAGAGACCTATGATGTCATGGTGTCGTGGCCACACCTGGAAGGTGTGGTTACCTTCGACTTAAAGGGCCCACCCCTTTAAGTCCTCTCTTGCCTCCTCTCTCTCTTACTCACTTACCTTCTCTCTCTCTCTCTCTCTCTCTCTCTGGGGTGCCCTCCCCTTTCCTTTTCCCTTTCCCCCTCTCTTCCCCCACCATGTCCTGCTACCCACATCCTCCATATCCCTCCTAATAAACCTCTCGCAGAGAATATCGATTGTCCCCCTGCTTCATCTATTTTTAATTTATAACACTGTCTCTCCTCCTCACTATGTAATCTGGGAATTTGGGTGCTTTTACTTTTTTCTCCCTCTCTCTCTGTTACCTCCCTTGCATGGCAGCCAAGAGCTGCCATGAAGCTGCATTTATATGCTTTAACTTGCCTTGTATGAGAAGCAGTCCAACGTCCTCATTCCCACCTCCCCACCCCTTCCTAGCTCCCCCCCTTTTTAATTATAGCAAAAGAAAAGGATGTTAGTTCACAAGTCAATGCACTAGCCCACTCCTAGGTTGCTTAGCCAACTGTGATGTCATCATTGGTCACCATTTTCAGGGGCCTGGGATAAAAGACCCTCACTATTACAGTCACTCTCCACTTTTTGTCAGGGAGTCCCCCTCCCCCATCTCTGTCCACATGGCTCACTAAGGCCCTAACTCTCTTCTGCTTTCCTTCTGTCAAATAAATATCTTTCATACCAGATCTGTCATATGCATGGCATATTTTTATATCGTAACATATAGGATACAGCAAAAGCAATACTAAGAGGAAAGCTCATAACACTAAGTGCCTCAGAAAGAAATTGCGAGATTTCACACAAGCAATTTAAAAGCACACCTGAAATCTCTAGAACAAAAAGAAGCAAACATAACTAAGAGGGGACAGCAGAAAATAATCAAACTCAGGGCTGAAATAATAAAGTAGAAACAAAGAGGACCTTTCAAAGAATCAACAAAACCAAGAGCTGGTCCTTTGAGAAAATCAACAAGATAGACAAACATTTAGCCAAACTAATGAAAAGGCAGACAAACACTATCCAAATCAACAAAATCAGAAATAAAAAGGGGGACAATAACAGAAACTTGACAAAATCCAAAGAATCACTAGATCTTATTTCAAAATCCTGTATTCCACAAAATTGGATAATCTAAATGAGATGGACAGTTTTCTTTATAGATTCCACTTACTAAAGTTAAATTAAGATCAGGCAAACAGCTGAGGTTTGCAGAGGCGGAACTGATTCTTCTTAGCTACCATGTGAGGAACTAAGAGTGTAATGAGGGGGAAAGTGTGGGAGAGGGCTAGGATCCGAACTGGGCGATTTCCCAACCTTCGCTGCCGGCTAGGCTCTCCCGCGGTCGCAGTACCAGGGTGTATCTCCCTTACTTCATCCCTGAAACGGCCTCTCTAAACTGTTTAAGTGAGAATGTCCTTGGCTCAGAGAGTACTCCTCACCTGGCTTTTCACATTACTCTTCCTGATCATGTTGGTGTTGAAACTGGATGAGAAGGCCCCTTGGAACTGGTTCCTCGTATTTATTCCCGTCTGGATATTTGACGCTATCCTTCTCGTCATGCTGATTGTGAAAATGGCTGGACGGTGTAAGTCTGGCTTTGACCCCCGGCATGGGTTGCAGAATAGTGAAAAGAAAGCCTGGTACCTCACTGCGATGTTACTCAAGTTAGCCTTCTGCCTCGCACTGTGTGCTAAACTGGAACAGTTTACTACCATGAATCTTTCCTACGTCTTCATTCCTTTATGGGCCTTACTGGCTGGCGCTTTGACAGAACTTCGAGATAATGTCTTTTTTGTGAGAGACTGACTTCCGAGTACATTGTCTCATTTCTGTTGCTGCTCAACAAGCTATTCAGCGTTCTGATTCTTTGGAAGTTTCAAGAATTACAGAGAACTGAGGGAAAATACTAGTGCAGTCTCGAAATACTATAAAACAGGATTGGTGAGGCATGAACTTGTAGCCAACCCAAAGCTCAATTATTCAGTATTTGAGTTATTGGTATCTTTATTTTTCCTGTGTAAATAAAGCTTGTTTCTGACCTTAAAAAAAAAAATCAGGCAAAAAGTTAAATTGTCCCATAAGTCCTAAGGAAATAGAAGCAGTCAGTAAGTCTCCCATCCAAAAAAAAAAAAAAAGAGAAGAGGCAGTTCTTTTAAGAGGTCCCTACTGAGGAAAACAAGAAACAAAAACAAAACAAGCCAGCTCTTCAACACAAGCAAGCTTCCGCAAGCCAGATGCAATTTCCTAGCCAAGGCAGGAGGCTAAATTCCTTTGAGAAGGGGCTCCTGCTGGCCTGGCTCCTGCTGGTAAGAGGAGCAAACACCTGTGGACCCAAAGAAATTCCAAGAGAGAGACAGAAAATCCTTTCCCTGTGAGCTAAAAGACAGGGTCTGCCGACTAACAACTCTGGAAGCAGGAGCTGGACAAACTGAGAAGCTCCACGCATCTGAACTGGTAAGGTACTAAATTTGGAAAACAATGAAAGAGAAGGGAAGCTGGGTATAAAAAAATTATAGAGAGAAGTGTTTGTTTTGAATATAAAAAGTCCTTGTTGAAAATGGAGGAAGACATTATGACACCATGCTGGATTCCATTTGATTTTGTTTCTCTTAGCATACGAATAATCTTTTCAATGATGATTACAGTTTTGTATACCCCCTTTGGGAGAGATTAAAATAAGGAAAATTTGGAAAAAGAAGAGACTGAGAAATTAGATGCTAAATTAAGGCCAGAGAACAGAGGTTGGAGGAATCTTTGAATCAAAATAGGGAACCTTCAGAGAAATCTAATTGGGAACTTAAAAAAAACACCAAAAGAGGTAATTCCAGATGAGAAAGTTCCACAAAGGCTTGAGAAAATTGCAGAAGGGCAGCCCATTGAGATAATGGATGGAAAGGCTTTGGCTGTAGGCCAAATATTTGTATTTGGATATTGTATTGAAAAAATAAAACCCTAGCATAATGCTGGCAACACCACTTTGCAAGACTGAAACAGTACAAGGTCAGAAGCAAGGCAGGACAGATGTCCAACAGCAGGATATCTGCGGTTGGGCACCTGGCCTATGAGGGGAAACGGAAAGTCCCTGATAAAAACACTCTGGGACTCTGGGTACCCGAGATAAGGGCCCGGTACGTGACTCGGCTCACATCTGCCTTCCCGCCTTCCCTGTTCCGGGTACGTGACGCAACTATGGCTTTGTTCAAACCACCCAATTAGATCCCTGTAACTATGCTTCTCGCTTCTGTAACCGTGCTTCTTGCTCCCGAGCCCTATAAAAACCCGTCACCCCAACCGAGAGGCGCGCAAGTCCTCCGAAGGACTTTGTCGCCCCGTGTACCCGTGTATCGAAATAAACCTCTTGCGGCTTGCATCCGAAGACTGGTCTCGCTGTTCCTTGGGAAGCGGGGTCTCCCCGTCTAAAGAGGCTCTAGCGGGAGTCTTTCAGTATATGTATTGTCAAGGTTCAATTACTGCATGCAGGTCTACATGCTAAACTAGAAATGCAGATCCCGTTTGCTGCTGCCTTGAAACAAGGTCAAGCAATGGGGTATGTGCTCCACTTTGCAGAGTTTGAAAAACTGAAGAAGAGTCACCACACCATGGGTTCATATTTGGAACTCCAATGTGCAACTGCATTAAGTTCTGAAGAGGAGAATTCGGTAATTACAAATGTATTAGAATGCCATTTCGGTTGTTTTCATTTGTAGTTATTCTGAATATGGCAACAGTAAACATGGGTGAGCATGTATCTGTGGAGCAGGGTGTTGAGCCCTTTGAGCATATGCCACGAAGTAGAACAGCTGGGTCATGTGCTAGATTTATTTAACTCAAGGATTTATTTAATTGAGGATTCTCCATAATGATTTCCAGAGAGTCTAGAATTTTCTGTTCAGAGGGTTTTTATTCCCTATGATTTTGTTTTTATGTTTTTGCTAGTTGGATAATTGGTAGTATTCCTCCTTGTCTGATCTTGCCATGAAATTGATATTCCTGAGTGTAGATTCAAATTGTATTCTACTTCTATTTCTCTTTGGTGTTTAGTATCACGACAGTGGTGGTGTGTGTGTGTGTGTGTGTGTGTGTGTGTGTGTGTGTGTGTCTTTTGTCTCGGGAGAATTGTTGCTCACCCAACTCACTCAGTAGTAACTTCTCAAACTAGAAAGATCAGTATTTTTTATTTCTCTTTCCCTTTTTGCCTAACAGGATACAAGTATGCAGCTTTTTCTGGCTAGGACTTGTTATACAGCATTCTGTGGAACACATCAGTAAAAATGTCTTGAGGGCATTGACTAATTGATGTGCATGAGCTATCATGTTTGGTGCAGAAAGAACATTCCTCATTGCTTTGCTCTAGTCAGCTCCTATGAGAATGTTGGCTCAACTCCCCTACATTGAAGCTGCAGGGTTTTAAAGTGGTGACATTGGAAATGGGCTCTGACCCACAGGTTTTCATTTCTATCCCTGGTTCTTACAATAGTCAGAATATGTCACCATTTTGCATTTTCAGAGAAAGAAAGGAAGAATCATAAACATTACTAACCTAAAATCTGTTATACAACATAGCTTAAGTACTAAAATAGAACACATTGAGAACCATAAAATTCAGACATAATAGTTCAGATTTTCTCTTGAGCAGTTTTTCTATGCTGTATTATAGGTGCAAAGCACTGAAACTGACTATAATTCTCACTGTTTAATATATTCATTTAGTCACAGGAAATCTTTGTCACTTCTGAATGCAGGCAAAGTTACTATGCCTATGTACACATTCTTAGTTGTAACTTAAATATTATTTAACATGTTTTTGGACTTTCCTCAAGGTTTTTCTTCAAAACTTCTAAAACTGTTACTTGTTAAAGTTGCCTTATGCTTATTCTTAGAAAAACATTAGAATATAACACATGGCTGAGTGGAACTTTCTATCTGCTTGGTGGAGGCTCGAATATTCCTATAAAATTCATTCCATAGACTACTTAATTTTTATGTTAATGTTACAATAGCCAGTATGTAGTATTGATATACTTCCTACTGTGGACAAAACACAAAACTGCTTGCCAATGAAATCAATCATATATTCTGCCTCCCATATCTACCCTTTAAGTCCTTAATGTTGTGGCTTTGGACTTAAGAGTTTAAACATCCCAACAGAGCATGTTAGAATGGAAGCATGCAAGGCCCAAGTAGATACAGGATTGATTCAGTGTCAGTATTTTAGTACGACCCTCGGTACAGCATTTCAAAGCACATTTCCTAATCACAAGTGTTCCTTCTGAGGCATGTACACTGAGATCCTGTGGGACAGAGACACATCATCCATAACACATAGATAACTGTGTCCAGATCTGAAATGTATGTGTTGTTTCATGGATATGCTTATGAGACTATTGTGTCATCCTGGTTTTACAAAGTTAGAACATTCAGTATAGAGTATGACTATATTAGAAATTACTGATTGAGTAATTGTCTTTGCTTATTTATCTACATCCAAATTTCCTTAAGTCTCCTTATATTCAGGAAAGCAGTCTTCCTGATAGTGCATGGTCAAATTATATTTTCCCTCCTCCCAGTTTTTCCCCACCTCCCCTTTGTTCAATATTCCCTCACTTTCTATTTCTCATTAGAAAAATAACAGAGTTCTACGTAATAACAACCAAGCATAAAAAAAATAAAATATAGAAAAGTAAAGTAAATATCACTAGATTAAAATCTGACAAAGTAACCCAACAGAAGAAAAAGATTGCTAAGAACAGGAACAAGAATTAGAGACCCATTAGTTCTCACTCAGGAGTCCTATAATAACACTAAGCTTAAAACTATAATATACATTCAGAGGACCTGGTGCATACCAGTGTAGGCCCTGTGTCTGCTACTTTAGTCCCTGTGAGCTCACTTGCACTTGCCTAGTTCATTCAGAGGATCTTGTTGTGACTGTGTCCTTCATCCCATCTGACTCTTGACACTCTTTCTACCTCCTCTTCTGCATGGTTCCCTGAGCTCTGAGGGATTTGATGGAGACCTCCTAGAGAGACTCTCTCTTCCTGATGTCTGACTTTGAGTCTCTATATCTCTTCTGATGTTAGAGGAAGCTTCTCTGATGAGGTCTGAATGAGGGAGTGATCCATGAGTATAGCAAAATCTCATTAGGAGTCATTTCCTTGATACTTTTCCTTTTTTCCATTTTACACCAATAGTGTCTGGTTTTATCTTAGGTCTCTGGGCTCTCTAGTCTCTGGTCCTTGGTTACCTAAGCAGTGTCAAGAATGGGTCATCTTGTGGAGTGGGCCTTACGTAAAATCAGACCTTTGTCGGCTGCTCCCACAATGTCTGTGCCGCCATTGCCCCGGCCTATCCTGCATGTAGATCACAGGCTTTGTAATTGGTTACAACTGTATCTTAAAGCTCCATAGCCACTAGTGCATTTGACACAGTTTTAATCGCTAGAAAAACTCAAGATATGCAAACAGAATATTCTCCCTAAATGTGCTGAAGATATGAGGGGGCATAGAAATTGAGAAATCAGGTCTAGATTTCTCTACTTTGTGTTCTCTTCATATATTGAGCAGAGTACCCTGTTAGATATCTGTATTTTTTCTAAAAACTCTCACTAGAGTCATGAGCTATCTCACAGAAAACACGGATTATTGTGTGCAAGGTAGACCTGGTCACCTGTCGGGAGCAAATGAGACTTCCCTGAAATGTGGAGAAGAGAGAGCAGCCACAACCAGGGTGGCCAAGTGAATGAGTGGGACAACAGTGATGGCTTCAAATTAAAGAGAAAGAAAAGAGCTGAAAATGGTTTTCCATATTTGATTACACCTTAAAAGAATTCCTGATCATTTAACTTACTATAGTGTCTTGGCCTCATAATGCATCCTGCTTGCTATAACTGTTAGAAGACA